GTCAAGTTTTGTGCTTGATTGAATGAATTTTTTAATTAGCTATAAATTGCCCTTATTTTCGAATTTAAAAATCTCCAAGCCTGAAAATAATTTAGATATTAAAAAATTTTGGGATGTAACTTACAATTTAAGAAAATTATGTGTGGATACTCTCATACTCCTGAGATTTCAATGTCTTCTCTTAGTGATGTAAACCAATTTCCCCCTAATCATTATTTAATACTTCACAGTGATGTTGTACATATTTTGGAGCAAAAACTATTGAAATCGTTAGGGTAATACTCTTGAAATTGCTCATAAAGGCTTCAATGGTGCTAAAAATGCCAAAATCAAGTCTTGAATGTCTAAGTGTGGTCTTGGGTTCCCAAAAAATTGGGAAAAAAAATTCAATTGCAAACAAATTAGTCTAACACTGGTGGGCGAGCCCCAGTCTTCCTCTGAAGTGGAGTTGACTGTTATTATTGGATGATTTGGATCCAAGTAGCATTTGAAGTTCATAATCTTTATTATAAAGCTTTTGTTTACTTATGAAGTAGTGTCGACAGACCTTGTTCAGAGGATGAGATCCAAGGAAGCATGTTAAATTCCTCTGATGATGCTCCAATATTCCTCTACAAATTAGCTTAGTTGTTCTCATTTTGCAGTGTGAGTTATGATGTGAGGTGTTGGTGGTTCAAAATAAATCTGATAGGGCTCTAAATTGTTTCCTAAAAATGGGATTATTTACCATCATTTGGTTTGATGAGATACTAAAAAGGGTGTTCGAGGTTAATTCTAGTAATGGAGCTCTTATCATCTTTTAAAAATAGGTTTGATTATCCTCATTTAGAAGGGTGAGCTTTAATGATAGATGCTTGAGGTTCAAAATTCTTGCAGAGATGCTCTATTTTTTAACTAAAAACAGAATATTTTTCTCATTTTAAATGGATGAGATCCAAGGAGAAGGGGATGTCCGAAGCTCGTGGGAAGATTACAACAAGAGGAAATTCTTCTAAGAAACCCTACAGATTTATTGGGAAACCAAATTTTATTATTTTAATCGTTTTTTATGAACTTCATTGATTTTTTTCTCTTATACTTCTTGGCCGAATTTTTTCATTATATAATCTTTCGCATATCTATGATTTTTCTTTAAATTTTTTGTTGTATAATTCTATCATTTTGATATTAAATTTTCAAACTTTTTGATATTGAATTTATGATGTTTCGGGATTTGATGAATTTTGGCAATAAAAATAATTACAAAAAGTTCTAAAATGCTTTATGCACATATCTAAATGAATTCCTCAATTTTTAAAATATTTTCATTTGATAAGTTAAGAAAAGCCTAAATAGTGTCTAATGAATCCTACTTATTTGTGGATTGCATACTTCGAAGATTTATTTTAAGCCTTGTGCACTTATTCACATTGGTTTAAATTTTTTTATATATGCTCTTGTTTATGTACGAATCATTCACAAAAAAAATTTAAATTTTCATAAACGAGTATTTTTAAGAAATACTTTAAGTGGTTATTGGTCAATAATTTATATGTTGCATTATTGTAGTAGAAAAATATTTTGAGGGATTAAATGAGTGAGTTTTCTGAATTTTTTTTGCCATTGATTTTTGTATTCTTATGTATCTTTAGGATTTTTAACTTTTAATCATTCATTTAACCATCTTTGCTTGTACATCTTATAGAAAAAAAAAATCCATTTGAGTTAGATATGATGGCACTAATGGAAACTCTTTTGTTCTCTATCATCTGTATGCTTAGGCAGCATTGCATGCAGAGTTTTTGTTTTTCAATAATTTGATGGTTTTTATATCAAACTTTGTATTACCTAAAAATTGGCTTTATAAAAGAGAAAATGATCCATTCTTATCTATATTTAAATATTTTATCAAATAATATTGATCTCTATAAATGAGGTTGTGCTTGTCCTTAGTCTTATAGGATGACTTATGGGCCCTTCTAAGAAGACTCAACCATTGATGATGGGAGTAATAACTAATTACCCCTACATCTTTTATTACAGTGATTCATGACTTTGAGAACTTGACCCCCAAAATATACTACATATTTGAGATTATATGAAAATAGACTACATATTTTAGCAATAGAATTTTAGGTTGTTAGAGTAAGACCTTCAAGATTATAGTAAAAGATATTGGACCCCTACCTGTACTCTTTTGCTGATTGTTGAATTTGAAATTTTTTTGACATGTATATTTGTTCACTTTGGTTGAAATTATTCGTATATGTTTCTCTTTATATAAGAATCATTCACAAAAACTTCTGGAATTTTTCATAAATTGGTAATTCTAAGATATACTTTAAACGGCTGTTTGTCAATAATTCATAAAGTACATTAATACTGCAGAAATATCTTTTGAGAGGTCAAATGAGGGAGTTCTAATTATTACGTCCTCCGACCGGACGCATAGGAACGTCCGGTCGGAGGCCAAATCCTACCAAAAAATGAGTTGTACCGAGCAAATACCGAGCAATACCAAACAATAACGAGGAATACCATCATTTGAAAAAATCCAATACCGAGTTATACCGAGCTAAACCGAGAAATACCGAGTTTTTTTAGGAAAAACTCGGTACAATTCGGTATTTCTCGGTACAGCTCAATATAACTCGGTATTGGTCTTCAAAGAGCGGTATTTCTCATTAATATCAAATAATATCTAGTTGTACCAAGCAAATACCGAGTTTTTTGGCGGGATTTTTCCTCCAACCGGACGTTCCTCTACGTCCTTACACCGGACGTAATAAAAGTTCCTGAAATTCTTGATGTCATAAAAAAGTGGACTCATTAGTTTCTGTAGTTTCACTTGTCTCTAAGATTTTTATTATTATACATGACTTCTCGTTATTTATAGGATGCCTCCTGCGCCCTTCTAGGAAGGTTTAATTGTTGATCAGATGGAGGTGATAACTTATGAACCCTAAATCCTTTATGATAGTGATTCATGTCTTTGAGTAGTTGAACCCCAAAGTAGTCTACATATTCTACCTTATATGAAATTTATATGCTTTTAGTAATAGAATATTAGGTTGTTAGAGTACCACCTGGTATTAAATTGTATTACACCCCCTCCCTCGCCTCTTTTAGTGATTATTAGTTGAAATTTTCTTACATGCCCCTCTTCATATTCAAATCATTCACAAAGAATTTTAGAAATTTTCATAAAATAGTATTTTAAAAAAAAATACTTTAAATAATTATTACCCAATAATTCATACATTGCATTATCAGTGTTGAAAAATATTTAGTTTGATCAAGTGAGTGAGCTTTATTAAATTCTTGATGTCATCAAAAAGTGGACTACTTGTTCTTTGCATTCTCAGGTGTCTTTAGGGTTTTAACTTTTAATCCTTCATTTAACCAACTTTAGCAATGCATATTATTAAAAAAGAAATTGATTGAAGTAGACAGGATGGCGCTAATAATGATGTCTAGGCAGCACTGCTTATAAAGGTTTTTTTTATCGATGATTTTAATAAAAAAATTTATTTATTAGAAAAACGACTTAATAAAGGAGAGGATGATCTGTCCTTATCTAAATTTAAATATTTTATTAAATAATATTGAACTTTAAAAAAGTGGTTGAGCTTCTTCTGAGCCTAAAAAAATAGTTTATTTTTTTATGGTTATATCTTCGATGTTTTTTAGATGAGTGGAGATCATTTTTGTTCAAAAGTATGTATTATGAGTCATTATACGAATGAAGATCTTATACCTTCTGAGAATTGTACTTTTTAAGATTTTAAGACAAGTGGAGATCATTTTTTTTATATATATATGTCACTTGCTCTTATGGAGATATTATAGTAAAGGCCCTATCTAATACTAGCTAGTCATTTAGGATTCCTTACCCTGATGTGCCTTACACTATTGGCAATGATGAGTTTCAATGTTGGTGGCAATGGTGATAATCAACATTAGTGGCTGTGATGGCAATCAACCTATTATTATAGATGAAATTTACCTTATGGGTGATGACAACATTGGCCTTATTGGTGATCAACCTTGTTAGAAATTACATGAACCAATCTTATTATTAAAAACTTGTCTTAATTTTGTTGGCGATTTTAGGCATTGAACATGAAAGTGTCAGTGTAGCCGTGTAGGTGCTGGTAGTGATGGCGGACATTAATATTGGTGGTAGAGCTTTTAAACTATATGATCCTAAGAATTCTTTCTTCCTAATTTTTCATGGGGGCTCATGGTGGCCTCCATGATGTGTAGAAAAATGTGATATATTTATAGATTTATGGAGGGGACATTATTGTCATTTCGACTTACAGCCGTGACAATCCATCAAATGGTCGATGTTTTACCCCCTTAATCATATAATGTTTCCATGGATATTTTAAGGTATTAATGATATTGGAATTTAATAATCTTGAGTTTATTAGATTTACCTCATTGACGCTTCATTTTAATCTAAGCAATTTGATACAATGTTATATAGCTTATCAAATAGTTTCATGAAATTTCTAGCCACTTTTATATCCTTGATTTAAGGTTTTTTGTGGACTCTCATTGTGCATGTTCTTGATGTTGTGTGATTTGTCTTATTGAGCTACTTATTTTTATTATATAATTGTTTCCAAAATAGTTCTGATAAATTTAGGATGTTTATGTAAGTTTAAGATTTGAACATTCAAACATTTTAAGATTTGAGAAGTTAAAATATATTCCTATTGATTGAATATATGTTTGATATCTATCAAAATACATTAAAGATAACAACTATGATGTTGTTACGTGAGGATATGAACTATTTTATAAGTTTATTTATAAGCTAGTGACGTGCAGAGGAATATAATATTAAAATTTAAATATATTTTATATAAATTAAATTACTTAAAAGAATAAAATATTGTTTGAGTTGAATAAATTAAGATAAAATTTTATTAATTTATGAATTTATCATTGATCAATATTCCGCTAAATTTCTGCAATTGATTAATGTTCTTTCTCCACAATCCTCTTCGAAGGACTTCGAAGCTGGCATTACAATATCGGAATCGAGCAGCCAAGTCATTTCCTCCCCAATCATAACAAACTCGCCGCCGCCAGCTCTCCGGCTACAACTTCAACAACCCGCAAGAACGCCACCCACTTCTCCGACAACGATTTGGAAGCTGAACAAGGAAGAACCTTCAAGCACTCAGCTCTCTACTTCGACTCCGACGTCCCGCCGGAGATGTTCGACTTCCTTCTCCACAAAGACTGCAAGCAAGAAAAACCGGCCGAAGCCAACTGTAACTCCAATGCCAACAGAAAATCTCGCAGAAAGAAAAAGTTAGAGAAAACGGACTCAGTCGACCTCAATTTCCTCCTCCTCCAATGCGCCGAAGCCGTTTCAAACAACGAACTGCATCGAGCCAACGGTCTCCTAATTCAAATTCGGCAAAGCTCCTCTCCCTTCGGCGACGCCGAACAAAGAATCGCCCACTATTTCGCCAACGGTCTCGAAGCCCGTCTGGCCGGCGGAACTGGAAGCAAGAACTACTATTACCCCCCGACTCTTCCGTCCATGACTGACATGCTCAAAGCCCATCAGCTATACGTCGCCGCTTCCCCATTCAAAAAAATTTCAGATTTTTTTGCTCATCAGACTATACTGAACGCCTCTGAGAAAACCGCAAAGCTTCACATCATCGACTTCGGCATCTACCATGGCTTCATGTGGCCCTGTTTTATGCAAAGGCTATCAACTCTTCCTGGCGGCTCGCCACGCCTTCGCATCACCGGCGTCGACGTCCCTCAGCCAGGCTTCCGCCCCGCAGAACGAATCGAAGAAACCGGCCGGCGGCTGACCGACTACGCTAGGCAGTTCAAAGTTCCGTTCGAGTACCATGCAATTGCTTGCAACTGGGAGAATCTGCAGCCAGAGGATCTCTCCATCGAACCCGACGAGGTGCTCGCCGTGAATTGCATGTACCGACTACGCAACCTTGCGGACGAGACGGTGTCACCGGATAGCCCGAGGGATCAAGTTCTGCGCACAATCAGAAAGCTGAATCCAAAGGTTTTCGTGCTCGGAGTAGTGAACGGAACATACAATGCACCGTTCTTTGTGACAAGGTTCAAGGAAGCTCTTTTCCACTTCTCTGCTCTGTTCGATATGCTGGAGACGAATGTGGAGAGGGAGGATGAGCAAAGAAGGCTGCTTGAGAAGCATTGCTTTGAGAGGGAGATTCTTAATGTGGTATCTTGTGAGGGATTGGAGAGAGTGGAGAGGCCGGAGCCGTATAAGCAATGGAGGTTAAGGAATGAGAGGGCGGGATTGGAGCAGATGCCACTGGATTATGTGATTGTGAGGAAGGCGAAGGAGAAGGTAAAGAAATGCTATCATAAGGATTTTGTGGTGGATGAAGATGGTAAATGGCTGTTGCAGGGATGGAAGGGGAGGATACTCTCTGCTTTGTCTGCTTGGAAAGCTAGAGATGCTTGAAATTTTTTTTGATATTCTGGATCAAATTTGAACGAGCCATGAGTGTGCTCTCATTTTAGAGTATGTTTAGTTGATTTTTTTCATGGTTTATGTATGGTTAGAAGGTTACTGATGCTTAACTGAAGTGTTTATCAAAGCCTATGTAGTGGTTAGAATGGGGGAAGTAAGAGAAGCTATACGCTTGTTAATTTATGTGAAGTAACAATGATTAGTGATGGAATTACTCTTTAAAAGTTTTATTTGATGTAAAATACATAAATTTATGTTAACTTTGCACTTTTTCTCTCTTGTTAATTTGTCTAAATTTTTTTCTTCCTTACCTTCGGTCATCAAATTGTAATATTTACAAGACCTCGAAACAAAAACCTCAGAAGCTTAAGCCTCCAATCATGATAAGTTGCGTGTACAAGCCTGGCTTCATATTACAGGGCAATGCTATTTCGCATCAATCTAATACTGACAATTGCCTCATGCATTGTGTATGCTATTATATATAAAAATATAATTAGCTTTTTTTAAGCAACTATTGAGCCAAGTAAAGGAAACGTACATTACACATTATATATACAAGCTTCGAACCCGAAAAATTTAAGTTGGTAGATAAAGCTCTCAATTAACAGATCAATATGTCGCAACTTGACTCGATATGACCTGATGCCATACTAGTTATAACGTGTTTGATTGTAGCAAGATTAACTCAAAGATTCAGTTGAATAAGTATTGAAACAAAACTTTCAATTTATATATTACACAGAGTTACTATTGAAAGCAATATAAATCGGAAGATTATTGAATTTATATCATCCAAATATAATCAGTGATATCTACAACAATACTTGACAATAGATAATATAACCAAATAAAAACTAAGTCCACAAAATAAAACTAAACAAATAAAAAGCCATACCTATGATACAGCTCGGAGCATGATATCCAAAACTCTCAGCTCTTATTTACTCTTTCTCTCGACTGAAAAATGAAAGCAAAAAATATGAATGAATTAACATGGTTCAATAAACTATTGTAGCCTAAAACATAAATCAATAATTTAAATCAAAAGACTAAAAATATTGTTTTGTAATAGTAAACTAAATTATTGTAAAAAAATTGAAACGTGTATGAAAACCGAATGCATAAACAAATACTAATACTAACTGAACTATGGGTAAACATTTCATAGTGATAATCAGAGTGGTTATCAGGATAGCTGGCTCTCAAGCCCAAGTTTTCATATAAATCTTCATTACCAGAATCCCTCCTCGATATCTGACTTTCTCTCTCTCAAATCCCACCCCTCTCTCCTACTTCGGTTGGCGCAACATTCAAATGAATAGAATAGTGGATTTCAAATATATTTAAATTGTAGTTAGTGGCCTAACACTGTGGTACTAACACTTAGTGTCGTGATGCTAGTTCATTTTCTAAAACACCTAAACTCCAATGTTAAAATGTCATTATTTGGCACATTGGCGTTGTTACAGCGCAGCAATGCTTGGACACTTAATATTGTGGTGCTCAAATCATAACATTTTTCAAATTTTGTCAAAATTTACTCCAGACTCTTGTGACTCATTCTAGAACACATACAACTTATGTCAAACATGCAAATTGGTTCAAAATATAAAATTTCAAATATTTACCATTTTCACTCGGGTCATATTTGTCTGAACTATACCATTATCCTTGAGGTCACACCCAAGGTGAGTTGCGTAAACAAAAATTACTTAAATTAACTTAGTATTTGAGAATGGATGATAAATCTCATCTTTATAAAATTTAGATTTTGGCTTAGATAGTTCTAATGGTTTCAACATATTTGGTATTCAACTTTTATTAATTTCTAAAATAAATATTACAAAGTATATTTAAGTTATAAACTAAGATGAATTATTTGATTGGGTTCAATGTTGCAATACATACAAAATTTAATGAAGCGTCATTGACAAAAAATTATCATAATTTTATTCAAAAATCATCAATCCTTTTTATTTTCTTCCAAAAATGTTCATAATCTTCTTACAATCAAAGAAAATTTAAAAACAAATAGAGGAATTATGTACTAATGTTGACCAATGAGTGGAGGAGATACTAAGATAGTTACACATTGTAACTACTACTCCAAACATGCGGTAGCCAAACACTTATAGGAATAAAAATAATTGGATTATTAGTATGTGCTAATTATCCTATATTCATAAATAATATAGGATAATGAGTTCAAAATTCAAGAAAATTTTGTAAATTTTGGACTTAATTACTAAATATGAAATTCTAAATTAAAAAACTATTTGACTTAGTTGTTAGAGGTTGTTGAGAAATTGTTTGAAAAGAAATTTGTTCGATCGGTATTATCATGCAGCATCAACTCATGTAGATATTTAAGAGGTGATATGAAAAGTGAATATATGTACGAAATCTGGACGTAGCTTTTGGTCTGAATTCCAATCACGTGAAGACATGTGTGTTTTCTCTATTGTACAAATCCCATGTATAAGAAAGAAAGAGTAAAAATTTAAGTGTCTTCTCGTGATTGGAGTCGAATGGCATCTAAACTGACCCGACACTATTCGGGTCAACCCGAACCCGACCCGTTTTTAAAAACGGATCGGTTTTTTGGACCCGAACCCGACCTGCTTCAGGTACAGGTAAATCCGACACGACCTGAATGACCCGTTTCCAACAAAAAATTACTAATTTTTGGGTCAAAACGGGTCAATCTCCTCTTTTCGGGTCAAAAAGGGGGTAAAATAGGGTCAATCTCCTCTTTTCGGGTCAAAATGGGTCAATTTCGAGTCAAAGGGTTAACCCAAATCCGACCCGATTTTTAAAATGGGTCAAAATGTTGAACCCGAATCCGACCCGTTTCGGGTTCAAGTTGACCCTAACCCGAAATTTTCAAGTTGGATTCGAGTCGAATTTTCGGATCGTGTCAAATATTAACACCTCTACATGGAGGTTTGGTAACCTCATGGTAATGGATGGCTTAGTGCTCGATCTTTTTTTCGCCTTTTGTGATTTTTACTTTACTGTATTCTATCATTTTTTTCCGACTCCTATTGACCTCTTCACCTCTCTCTCCAAATGCAAGTAAAGCGATTCGTTCAAGGTTTGTGTTATTTTCCCCAACACAAACACTTACCCAAAACACCATGCAGAGGCCTCCACCTTATGAATGTTGAGTTTTTTGTTCAACTAGGTCTATGCATGGATGATCCATTACTGAGATAGAGTGCCTTGGAATGATAAAAGGGGGAGGGAGCTAGGGGTATAAACGGGTCAAGTTGAGCTCGATTGAGTCACCCTTTGATTGAGCTTGAGCTTGATTAATTAATTGAGTTTGAGCTCGAGCTTTATTTTATGAGTTCAGGAGCCGGAACGTTTGTAATGAACGAGACAAAATGATTATTATTAGAGCAATTATTATAGTAAAATCATAGTAAGAATGAGAAATGGCAAGAAAATAATAATAAAGCTTGAGCTCAAGGGCCGACTATTTTGTAATGATAGAAAAAATAAATTTTATTCAAGTAATTTTTATAATAAAATAGTACAAAGAATGAAAAATTACAAGAAAAATAATAAATAATATTAATATAATAAAGTGAAACATAATTTTATACCATTTTCAGCAACTTTAAATTTAAAATCATGAATATTAATATATTTTAAGTGTATTTTGTATGAATATATGAACTAACGAGTTAAGTGTAGAATCTTAATGGGTTGAGAGAGAGTGATAATATTATAGTAGAGAAATCATAACTTTCCTTTATAATAAGTAGGAAGACAAAATTCGTTTGGGACACCTTTTTTAATGCTTTCTAAAACAATATTTTAGTTAAAATTTTTTTTGAATTAGAATTTTTCGTACTAAAATATTGTTTTATAAAACAATGAAAACGTTATCCCAAACGAAGCCTAAGACTTTGTCCCAAATGAAGCCTAATTGGAAAAACTTTCTTATTGCTTTCTAAAGCAAGTTTTTAGTATAAAAAATTTTCTAGTGTGAAAATTTTTGTGCTAAAAAATTAGTGAAATTTACATATATACCACTTTATTTCATGTTATTTATATATCTAACACTCAAAATATAAATATTACATGTCTACCACCCATATATAACATTAATATCAAATATATCACTCATATAATTCATTTTTACCATTCATGCCATCCTATAAACTTTAATATTTCATTCCATGCACCTAAATGTGTTCTATGAGTGGTAGTCATGTAATATTAATATTTTGAGTGTTAGATATGTAAATAGCATGAAATAAAGTGGTATGTATGTAAAACCCCTTTTTTATTTAAAAAAAACAAATAAAAAACTTTCCCAAACAAAACCTAAGTGGCATCATTATATACATAAGGGAAAATTTCATTGATAATAAGATGAGAAGTGCATGCCCCCTTATATTTTAAATTCTTCAAGTTTGAGGAGTATAAGAAGAAGAGAGAAATTATAACTAAGGTTATAGAGTTCATGTATCAACTACAACTTTGGTATTAAGAAGATATCTAAATAATTTCAATAGCAAAAGAGTAAATTCGCATGAAATATTTTAAAATATATTAAAATTAACAATAAAATAGGAAAAAAAAAGAGTAAAAGAATTTTTGGCCTACTGATTAGAGACTGATAGAAGTGCTTAATTTTGTAGAAAAAAAAAAAAAACAAGACAAGTGTGGTGTACGCTTCATATTAATTCCCTTTGCATATTATAAGAATATTAACTTTGTCCTCTCTTATATTTTATTTGAGACATTTTTCTTATTATTTTTTTAAACAACTTTTTAGCACAATTTTTTTTTAAAAAGTAATGAAAAATTAGTGATCAAAAGCTGTCCCAAACGAAACTTTAAGCTACTTTGAAACAGCTTACTATTTTGGTGTTCAAATCATAATCATAATTTTTTTTTGTCGCTGATTTATCATAGCTTTCAATAAAGTTGTGATAGAAAGATAATTGCACCCCTCAAAATTGAAGCTGGTTTCGCCCCTAGTCACCCGGTACACAGCGGTACATAAAACTGATACACAGCAAATGTGAATGTGGTACGTTCTGATTCGCCTTTGGACGATGACCGCACGTAATAATTTTTTCCCAAACAGAGCCTTAGAATGGGATTCAAATGCCATTAATGAATCGTATTTATAAGAACCATTAATTCGTTGTCGGCTTCGAGTTCTTTATAACAATCAATCATTACATATGTAATCCACCGTTTCAATTCATCATTAATCGATTAGATTAACATAATCACCGCACATCACGCCTGATTAGCTACCATTTCATGAAGGCCACGCTGTATTTTAATCAATGGTTAAGCTTAAGCTTCTCATATATCAATCCTCTCAGGGTGTGAATGAGGTGAAATTATTTTGTGCGGTCATCGATCGTCATTCTGAGATAAATTAGAATGCGCCATGTCATTTTTTGCTTTGTACCGGATGATGTGAAGGATTCTGCTTTGCCTCCAGACGGTCTGATAACCGCAAAAAAATGATTTCTCATGAATAACTGGGTTAAGTTTGCGTCATCTATAATGTAACTTTGAATTTTTTTTAATTAATAGAATTTGAGCTCAGTTGTAGGAGTTTGAGATAGATTATTTATTATGAAAAGGAAAATATTTTTTAGATTTAAATATTTATTATAAGAAAATAATTAAATTTAATAAAAAATAATATGGGAAATATTAATAAATTATATTTTATAAAGAAGAGAGGCATAATTTTGTTAAATTATTTTTATGTTAATATTTTTAAATAAATTAACTCATGAACCAATGAGTTAAATTAGAAAGATTAAGATTTGTCTCGTTAACTAAATAAATTTAATTTATCATTCATTCGTTATATCAAAACTTAATTGACCCATAAATAAATTTAACTCAATTGCAATATTAGGATCCGTTTGGAATAGCTTCTTATTTTTTAAGTAATTATAATTTTATTTAATTACTTTAAAAAATTATGTTTTTTAAAAAATTGTAAAAACTTATTTTTTTTCAATCATAATTGCTATTCGAATAAATCTTTAATCACATTTGATCAAGACTTTTTTTAGTGTTTTTTTTAAAAGTAGTTTTTTAATAAAAGTTTTAATAAAAAAATAGTAAGAAATTCATTCTAAATGAAATTTAAAGCTTTTTTTGAGACAGTTTTTTTTAGGTTTTTTAAAATAATTTTTTTTAATTTTTAAAAAAATGTATTAAAAATTTATTTAGAAACTAATAAGAAAATCATAAGCCTAAATAAAAACCGTTCAATTAATTCAATGGTCGTACGTATCAGTTTAAACGCTACAACAGACCGTACACATTTCAGTGGCCAAATAATTACGAATGGGAATCCAAAGCTTGACCGTAACTCAGATTTACTTCTCGAGTCAGTGAACTGCAAGAACCACGAGGTTCGGCCCCACCACTTTTGTTGCCACGTCACACCCCACCGACCGTCCACGTGTCTCCCGCCCGGTCACTAGTTCCCCGCCGAGCCGACCGCAGAAAGACCAATGCACGTTCGCAAACGCGCCTAAAATTCCCACATTCCCCAATTTACCCTCAGCCCGAAATTAAAAATTAAAAAGAAAAAAAAAAGACGCCAAACTTTCCCGCGCAGATGCCAAGCGTTCCCGCCGATTCCACTATTTTAAAAACCGGAAACGCGGCGGGTAAACACGTGCGAATCGCACGCGCGCGCGAGGATTGCACGGCACGATTCGAAGCGGTGGCTTATCTCAGGCGTCCATTGGAAGCTAAGCTCATCTTGCTATAAAATGCCCTTAAACCCTTCCCTCTCTTTCGCAGCATTTCAAAAATCCTTTTTTTTAGAGCGAGAGAGAGAGAGAAGAGAGAGGAGATGGTGGAGGCAAGAGAAGACGAGGGATGGGAGACGCCAAAGAAAATGAGTTGTAGGATTCCGTCGGAGATTCCATGCCCACCGCCCCCGAGGAAGAGGTCGTCACCAGCGACGGGGAAGGGGCGAGATCCTCCCAAAGGAGGATACTTCCAACCGCCGGATCTGGAGGCTCTGTTCGCCTTGACGCCGAGAAGTGAAGCTTGTGCTTGATTTGCTGTTTCTGGATGAGTGTACATATAATTTTGTTTGAAGTTTTTTTGTGCTTCTCTGTTCTTTAGGCGTGTGATATATAATGGAATGATTTTCCGAGTTTGTTATGTTACGTGTGAAATGGCTAATGGTGTATAATATTTGATCATTTATTTCCGTAATTACTGTGTTTTGAATAATTAATCTCGTTGAAATTCGTATTTAATTTGCTTTGAAAAGCTTGCTGGATTCTTAATTTCATAACTTCTTCTTTATCTGTGGCATGTGTAGTCTGTAGGTGTTCAGATTTTATAACTGGAACTTGATGTTGGAAATTGCTGTGAAAAGGAAGCTTTTTTTTATTGTAACATTTTGAGGTATCTGGAGGTCCGAATCAACCAAAAGATCCCAAGGGGATGAACTTTTATTAGGTCAGGACACCTGCCGTAGCTCTACATCTGGATGCTAATAAAATATCGTCACGTGTTCTTACTCTTTATCGGTCGGCCCGATCACTTGGCCCAGACCGGAACCCGGTGTTGTTATGTATTAGTTGATTTGTGCAGACAAGGGTATTGCTAGGTATTCTCGGTAATGAGAAATACTATTTTGTCAAGATCAATACCTAGCAATACCGAGCAATATCCCGGTTTTCTAGGTATTGCTCGGTATTGGCCTTAAAAGAACGGTATTTCTCGTTATTGCCAAATAATACCTAACAATATCGAGCAATACACGAACATAGCAATATCGGGTTTGATCCGGGTCTGGTTGTCGGGCCACGCGGTAAAGAGTAAGAGCACGTTGTGACATGTTATTGGTATCCGGATGTAGAGTTACGTCAGATGTCCTGACCTAATAAAAGTTCCAAGGGGACAGAGGAGGGAAAGCTACTCACAGGCTTGGCTAGTTGGTTAAGAAGGATGAGTATCACTAAAATCTGCAAGTTAGATAACATGAGAAAAAATGCTTTTATTGTGGATGATAAGGAATGAATGGTAAAGTATATGATTCGAATAAAAATTTTGCAATCATTGAGACATGAGAAGATGAAGAGTTGATTAAGCTTGTGAAAATTAGATGGGATATTATTAGATATTGAATTGGAAGGAAAGTTTTAAATGTAAGTTGAGGTTGAATTGATTAATTTAATAAATATTAAAAAAATTAAATTTTGTTTTAATAATATGATATTAATGTAAATTTATTATAAAAATAAATAAATGTTTTATAAAAAGTGAAAATTTTATAATTGTAATGTGTATGATTCAAAAATAATGGATTTTATGGTGCAAAAAAACATTGGCATATTTGGTTTAGTGAACACCTGTCTTTGGAGAGATTATTCTTTGTGGCGTTCGAATGTGTCGGGAATTCAAAGGTTAATTAGGATGTGCAACGTCACGTAATGCACATTGTATTGGATGATGTGGTGTATTCGGATTGGCCTTCAGATACTTCTGAATGCTGCACCTAATAATTTTTTTTATATTTGATAGTTGAGAGCACATCAAGAGAGATGAATTTGATACATGATGTGATATTATTTTAATTCTTTTGCAATACATTTATTAAAACTCATGATAATAATTTAATGGAACTTAATTATATATTAATTAAATTAACTATTAGAAGCTATCAAAATGATAATTAATTAATTATTCTAATCACAAACATAACACAAGTTTAGTAGTGGTGTTGGTTAATGATTAAGTACCACTAACATTAAATAGGTTGAAAATTGGAAACTTAATAATATTAGCTATCTAAACTACGTGATGAAATATAAAGAATTGGCATGAATCTTTTTAAAATAAAAAATATTTGGGCATTATTATATTCTTAATAAAAGCTTTTCATTAGATAGTATAAGTTTAGAATCATGCATCCTCTTTTATACTAAGCCAAAAATTGAGACTTCTAGTCTTCTATGTGATGGTATGTACATCATTATGTAAATTTTAGGCTGGCTCAAATACGTTAATGATTTTTTTTAAAGGCATAATGTGGATGATTATCAATGAAAAAGTAAATTTAATAAGAAAATTAAAATTACATTGAAAGAACTTATGGAAAAATAAACAAAATCAATTGAAACAAAATGCTCTAAAGTAATAAAAAAGCCATCCCAAATGAAGCATGGGACTTGTTTCTTACCACCTCTTAAAACAGTTTTTTAATATAAAAATTTTAATTTTTGTACTAGAAAGTTGTTTTAAGAATCAGCAAGAAAATCATCCCAATCGAAGCCTAAGACTAAGAGGAGGGTTGTGAATTTGTATATAATTGAGAATTTTGAACTTTAGAGTATCTTTTAGAGTACATCAATAGAAACTTTTATAGCAATAACTTAGCAGAGGCTAATTTTTTTTTTTTAACCAAAATTTATTCCATAAAGAAATGGAGAAATATAAGAAGGATCCACAAACAGTCAAAGCCAAAAAGCAACAAAAAGATACAAGTAAACAAACACAACCAAAAACAAACAACCAAAGAAATAGGAGCATAGAAGCCAACAGCAGACTTAGGGAATGACAGCCCCCTGCAACCTTCCCAAAGCTAGGCACAGATCATCTATTGGTGATAAATACTCCAAAAAATAACAACAACCTAAAGCCCACATAAGCAACCACCAAGCAATTGGGAAAACCACCAAGGTTGCCATCAAGCCTGGGCCAACTGGAAGGTAAACAGGAAGCTGCCTCATCATAGTCTAAATCGTCGAAAAAGCCCACGACAACAAAAGGAAAGTAAACCCAAAAACTATTTCTTCTTAGATTTATTTTTACGTCTCTTGTCACCACCATTTAGAACCACTTGATCAACTACACACCCAACCATGAAGCTATACATGTCATCATTAACATGGTAATCAAAAACATCACCGTCCCCCCACAAAGCATGGGAAGGGGCTCATCCAAATCTAGTCAATCAAATTGCTCCAAAGAAGAGTTATACACAGACCGAGCCAGATGGGCTTTTTAAATCTGTGCTAGACATAACAGAAATATGGACCTAAACACATGTGGAACAGTAAGGGAACGAGGTCTCACAACACACTCCGTAAATCCCTTTGAAACATACATAATATGAGACAAATTTGAAACAACATCACCAAAAGGCACGACAGCTCCTTCATTACTCAGCTTAGCCAAAGCTTCATTACCCCCATTAACTAATGAGGCCGAAAATTCAACTGATTCCAAAGCATCAGCACAAGTAGGGCTTACAACAAAGTTAATGCAACAATTATTAATATTTAAGGAACCATCAACACCCACTAAACTCGCTACATTAGAACATTCAATACGTAAAGGTGTCTCAACTTCCCCAACAAAACAAGAAGCCAAAGGAGCATCAGCGTCCCCGACAATAGAGGGAAGCAAATCCTACTCCAAATCATTAGACACAAAAGCGCCGACATTAACCAAAACTTCCACATCGTCAATTACATCAACAAACCCACGCTCTTGAACCAAATCACAAGCAACATCAGCTAAACCATTGACACCATCATCCGACACAACAGGACCAGCAGGAGGCAAAATCACACGTAACTCACTAACTACGACGTGACCAGCATTATCATCCTCAAATAAAACAATCACTTTAACAAATTGCTCAACAACATGATTAAAAACACCCTCCGAAACTTTAGGCAACTGGGGATGAAGAAGATGGCATTCATGTTTCAAATGCCCCAAAGACTTATAATGAGAACAATAAAAAGGGGAAAAGGCTCCATAAAAATCATTTGGATATGACCCAAGCTCTCGGAACCAATCCAAACCTTATTAGAATTTTTTTTTGGTAACATTCAATTCCACCAAGACACGCGCAACCGACGGCCTACGACCAATGAAAGTAGCATGATCAATTTTCAGTGGGCGACCGAACATGGAACCAAGCCCATGAAGAATCCTAGGAGAGAAGAGATGCGGTCTCGGATTAGGAAAAGAAATTCATATAGGAATAATGAGTGATTCAATTTCAGCATCAAAGGTAGGAGACCACTTGAAGATTTTCATGAAACAATTGTTCACAAAGTAGGAACGATAAGAAAAAACAAGTCAATAATTTAAATCATTCACAAGTTTGATCAGAACATGCTTAGGGCTAAGAATAATGACTGAAAATTCACCATTGAGCTTGAGATTAAAGAAGAATTTGCGAATATCCTCAAGCTTAGGCCTACAAGAAGGAAATTTGCCCACTAAAGCAAACTCAAAAAGAGCTACAAGTGCCAAAACTTCCTCATCAGAAATCCACGGTGAAGGCATCCCACGAAAAGAAGAGATTTTGAGTTCCGAAAAATTAAAGAAAGAAGAAGAAGAGCAACCCGATAAAGCATCATGAAAGGACCTAGAAGAGGGATTGCCCACCAAAAAACTGGAATCCTTAAGTCGTTTGCCCTCCATCGAAAAAACGAGGAGATGGACAACAAAAAAAAGCCGAACACAGAAGGAATTAGGGCATGAGACTTCCCTGAGAAGCTCGAAGAGAACGGACACAACAACGGAGAGGGGAGCGCCATCCAGAAACCTTAGCAGAGCACATCGCCAGGCTTACTTGGTGGTTAACGTGAGACTTGAATAGCCAAAGATTTCATGAACATATGGCGCAGAGGCTAAATAATTAGATCAATTAACCACACTGAAAAATGTTATGAAGTTTCAAATTTCTTTTCCATCAATTCCCACTAAAAACGACTCCAAAAAGGAATACTTCCAGACTGATTTGCAGGACTTGTTTTTACAACTCCTCGGAACGAAACCTCGGAGCTCAAGTACATCTTGGTGCTTGTTGCTCCATGAAAGCTTCATTTTTATGAAGAAAAAATGGCGACGTGGTGACCATCTTCAACCGAAAAATTCATTTTTCACTCTCTTATATAGTAAAATTTCAAAATGCAGTAATTCATCTCCAACTGAACTCTATTTTTTTAACACCAAAAAAAAAAAAAATTCTTAACAACCGAATTCCGCACGCTCCACCTCCATTTTTTCTGTATCCGAAAAAAGAAAAAAAATGTTCGTAAATAGTGCGACATCAATATTGAAGCAGTTTGCGAACTCGAAACACGGATATGGAGTTCGGTTGTAAATGGTCTATCATGCTTGCTTGTCCAAATGCTCTTCTAGGTATCTGATCAACTGCTAATTCTGCTTCTTGCTCTTTTGCATTCCATT